ATGAATTTCGTGCACCAGGCCTTAAGTGTTAGAAATATTATAATACATCACTGTTAATTTTGCCTTAAATGGTCTTTTATTTTTAAAATAAGAAAAATTTGCCGAGGCCGGTTTGGCTCAGTGGATGGAGCGTCGGCCTGCGGACTGAAAGGTCCCAGGTTCGATTCCGGTCAAGGGCATGTGCCTGGGTTGCGGGCACATCCCCAGTGGGAGATGTGCAGGGAGCATTAGGTATTCCAAGAAGCATGTTTAGCCCTGGACAGTAAATAGTCCATACCTACAGATCACAGAACTTTTCATCCCTGTGGTGTGTCATGAGAAATAGGGAGGTGGGATCAAAAGTTTCCTATAGGTACAACTACTGGGTTGTACCTGTTACAGCAGTCTTTATAGCTTTGGGTAGATCCACTTTTTTATCTGTTATCATTTTCCTTTAGATTGAAGAATTATCAGTAAGATTTTTGTGTAGTGCAGGTCTGGTGTCCTCAAATTCTCTAATCTTTTATCTATTGTCTATTTGCATTCAATTTTGAAAGGCATTTTCACAGGAGACTTAATTTTAGGTTGGTAATTCCTACCCACTACCTTAAAATTGATTTTATATTATTTATATTATATATCATATGGCTTGCATTGCCACCAATAAGAATTCAGCAATACTTTTTTTTTGTTCCTCTCTATACAATGAGTCAATTTTCTCTGGCTGCTTTTTTTTAAAAATTATTTTATTGATTTCAGAGAGGAATGGAGAGGAGAGATAGAGATAGAAACATCAATGATGAGAGAATCATTGATTGGCTGCCTCCTGCACACCCCTTCCTGGGGATCGAGCCCACAACCTGGGCATGTGCCCTTGTCTGGAATTGAACCTGGGACCTTTCAGTCTGCAGGCCAACACTCTATCCACTGAGCAAAACCAGCTATGGCTCTGGCTGCTTTTTTAAAAAAAAATATTTTTAGAGAGAGAGGAAGGGAGAGGGAGAGAAATATGGACGTATACTCACAACCCTCACAACCGTTAACCTACTTTGCCCCTACTTTGTTGTCTATTTCTCCCTTTAGATCTGTCAATGTTTGCTTTATACAGGGTGTCCCTCTGAAAATGTATACACACTTTAACAGCTGATAGCTCAATTTTGGAAATGAAATGTATTTTAATAAAAACTACTTTTATAATTATTCAAAGTGTGTGTATACATTTTTTGGGGACACATTATATATAGGTGCTTTGATTGTTGGGTACATATATATTTGTAATTAGTATACCTTCTAGTTGAATTGACTCTTTTATCATTATATCATGTCTTTTTTTGTCTCTTTTAACAGTTTTTGACTTAAAGTCTATTTTGTCTGATATACTAATAATGTTGATCTCTTTTAGTTACCATTTGCATTGAATCTCTCCATACCTTCACTTATAATGTAAGTGTGTCATAAAATCTAAAGTGAGTCTCTTGTAGACAACATGTAGTTAGTTCAGTCTTGTTTTTAAAAATCCATTCAGGCATTTCAATGTCTTTTGAGTGGGGAGTTTAGTGAATTTACATTTAAAATTATTGATAGGTAAGGACTTGCTGTTGTCATTTTGTTAATCATTTTCTGTTTTGTAGTTCTTGTTCCTCTCTTTATCTTTATTTATTTTGTGGTTACCATGGTGCTTACATGGAATATTATACAGTTCTAGAAGTTTGTTTTAAGCTGATAACATACAGAAACTACATTTTACTCCCCAACCTGCCACTTTATGTAATCATGTCAGATTTTATTTTTTTCTATATTGTGTTTCCATCAAGAAATTTCTGTGGTTATAGTTATTCTTACTTATTTTGTCTCTTAATTTATATACTAGTGTTAAAATTGATTTATGTACCACCATTACAGTATTGCAATATTCTGTATTTATCTTCATATTTACCATTATTAGTGGGATTTATACTTTGATACATGAACATACTTTTGTGTTGTTGTTTAGCATCTTTTCATTTCAACTTGATGAAATTTTTTCAGCACTTCTGTCTGGGGGTGCTTGTCAGAGAAATTTTTTCTTTTTTCTTTTTTTTTTTTTAAAAAATATATATTTTATTGATTTTTTACAGAGAGGAAGGGAGAGGGATAGAGAGCTAGAAACATCGATGAGAGAGAAACACTGATCAGCTGCCTCCTGCACACCCTCCACAGGGGATGTGCCTGCAACCAAGGTACATGCCCTTGACTTGAATCAAACCTAGGACTCCTCAGTCCGCAGGCCGACGCTCTATCCACTGAGCCAAACCGGTCAGGGCTATTTTTTCTTAATTCTTAAATATATATTTTAAAATAGATTTTTTATTGATTTTAGAGAAAGGAAGGGAAAGGAATAGAGAGATAGAAACATTGATGAGAAACATCGATCCACTGCCTCCTGTACACCCCCCACTGGGGATCGAGCCCACAACCCGGGCATGTGCCCTGATCAGGAATTGAACCATGACCCCCTGGCTCATGGGCCAAGCTCAACCACCAGGCTTTTACTTAGTTCTTAAAGGATAGTTTTGTTGTTCATGGTTGGCAGTTTTTTCTTTCATTACTTTGAATATCATCCTGCTCTCTCCTAGCCTGTGAGACTTCTCCTGAGAAATCATCTATTAATCTTATAGGGACTCCCTTATATGTTACAGGTTGCTTTTCTCTTGCTGCTTCCAAAATTCTCTTTGTCTTTGATTTTGATAACTGAATCATAATGTGTCTTGGTGTAAACCCCTTTGGTTCTACCTATTTGGGTACTTTTGGGCTTCATAAATCAATATATTCACTTCCATCTTTAGAGAAGTTCTCAACCATTATTTCTTTAAATGAGCTTTCTGTCACTTTTTTTCCTTATGGGATTCTCAAATACCTATATCATTTTGCTGGACACTGTGTCCCATATGCTTTCTTCTCTTTTTCATTCTTTTTTCTATTTGTTCCTCTACCATGATAATTTCAAATGACCTGTCTTTGAGTTTGCTGATTTTTTTCTTCTGCATGATCAAGTCTTGTGGAAGCTCTCTATTAATTTTTTCTTTCAGATCAGTCATTGTATCCTTGAGCGCCAGAATTTTTGTTTTGTTCCTTTTTATGTTTTCAATTTTTTGTTAAACTTTTTTTGGTTTATTTATTGTTGTTCTCATTGCATTTAGTTGTCTATCTGTGCTCTCTTGTAGCTCATTGAGCTTCATTAAGATGATTATTTTGATTTTTTTATTCATAGATATTAATTTCTTTAGGGTCAGTTACTGGAGCATTATTATTTTCCTTTGATGGTATCATCTTTGCCAGATTCTTCATGATCTGTGTCTGCATTTGAAGGAGCAGATACCTGTTCCAGTCTTTATAGACTTTTTTTTTTTTTACAGGTAAAGCTCTTCTACTATATCCTTTGATTGATAGGACTGCCTTCAGGATCATGGTCTAGCAGAACTGGAGTCAGGTCATGTAGCTGCTGCTGGGTCTGCTATTGGGTCTATGGTCAGTGGGCCCGGTAGCAGAGTCATGGATAGATACAGTTCCTTCTGGGTTCCTGGGTAGCCCAGACTGCCTCCTGAGTGTGGTAGAATGGGACTAGAGCCAGGTCACAAGGCTGCTTCAGATTCACAGTTAGGTTCACATTTGGCCTTCCTGTTGCTTGGGCATGGTTCCTTTTGGGCTCCTGAGTGGACAGGGTTATCTTCAGGACCACAGTTGAAAGGGGTTGGATCCAGGGGATGGAGCTGCTTCTGGGTTAACAATCATGTCTAAGGTTGTCAGACCTCTTACTGGGGGCATAGATTCACATGTATTCTTCAGGGTTCTTTGGTGGATGGGACTAGTGGCCAGACCATGGACAAGTTAGGCTGGAGCCAAATCTATAAGAGGATGGAGCTGCTTCCAGACCTGCAGCTGGAACAACAATCAGAAGGCCTGCCACTGGGGCTTGGATATGACTTATTTTATTGGCCCTCCTCAGTCTTTGGCTACCCCATGGTTTGCAACCTCTCATCTGGATCTCAAGGCTCACACAAGGGCACTTGTGCATATAGATTGCTGCCAAATCATTGTTTTTGTGGGAAAACAGAGGTTGGGACTTCCTATTTTGCCATATTGCTGACGTCAGATAGAAATAGAGTTAGCAAAATGACAGAATAAAAATCAATTACTACCATCCCTTAGCATTTTCTAAGAATCCTGTATCTCAAAAGAAAAACCTCTAGTAGGACGTGATCACAAACTCAGCTGCCTTGTAAACTGCCCCTAAGAACTCACTCTCACCCAAGTTTACCAACAAGTTGGTCCTCGTTTCAAGAGAGATGGCCAGGACCAACTCTTCCCTCTGCTATGACTCTCTGAGCTTTCTTAACATCCAGACGTATCTTTTCCATTTAGATCACCAAAGATATTCTGGGATTTTTTTTTTGGCCATAAAAAATTATCAGAAAAATAAAATGTAAAACCATAAAAGTGAATTTGTTATAATGTCTATTATTTCTAACCTTCAACCATCACAGTCTGCCTATAGGTTGACATGGATTCATGGATACAATCCTCATGATTTTCTGTATCCTCAGTCATTTGAGGATTGGCTCCCGAGAAAGAAGCTAATCAGAATTCGAACCCCACAACTCTCAGGATGGCTTTCTAACCTTTTGTAACTGATAGGTCTCTACCCTTTCATAGCCCTTGTCCCTCTAGGTTGGTTCTTCACTGAAGTTTGAATGCTTATGTATTGTGTAGTTCCTTGGGTACTGTAGATCCTAGTACCCAAATGAGGACTTCACTCCTCTAATCAATCCTGAAATATATGTTCAAGGTATTCAGCCATTACAAATTATTTATCTTCAGAAACACACACATGGAGGTCCTATTCTGACACTGACTGTTCAGTATTCTCCCCATTTCTCATTACTTGGAAAAAGAAAATTTTAACACCACGGTCTATCAGATGTCATTTCTAATTGTCAACATGTGATTGTGAACACTCACTGGGTCTATTTGTTTTCTCTTAGGATTTGTGCATCTGGTTGGAGGGGATGGACCCTGCTCAGGGAGAGTAGAAGTACATTCTGGAAGAAATTGGGATTCAGTATCTGGTGGGAACTTCACATTCTCCACTGCCCAGGTTATCTGTGCAGAGCTGGGGTGTGGCAAAGCTGTATCTATTATGATGGATGTGCCCTTTAGAGAGTCAGATGGACAGGTCTGGGATGAAGAGTTCTGGTGTGAGGGGCAGGAACCTGAGCTCAGGACCTGCCCCAGAGTGCCCTGTCCTGGAGGTACTTGCCAACACAGAGGGGCTGTTCAAGTTGTCTGTTCAGGTGAGTTGCAGAGCAAGATTTTAACCTCCCTGCATAATCTGTTGGGGTGATAAAAACATAATACTTTGTTAAAATCCTATCTTCTCCTACCAGCATACACAGAAGTGCGGCTCATGAAAAATGGCACCTCTCAGTGTGAGGGACAAGTGGAAATGAATATTTCTGGAAAATGGAGAGTGCTCTGTGCCTCCCACTGGAATATGGCCAATGCCAATGTTGTCTGTCGTCAGCTTGGCTGTGGAGTTGCCATCTCAACCCCCAAAGGAGCGTACTTTGTGAAAGGAGGTGATCAAATCTGGAAAGCCCAATATCACTGCTCAGGGGCTGAGTCCTTCTTATGGAATTGCCCAATGACTGCCTTGGGCATTCCTGACTGTACCCATGGAAGCACGGCCTCTGTGATCTGCTCAGGTAAGAGAAAGGGAAGGGCTAACTGGTACTAAGGATGTTTCTCGAGTGAACTGTGCCTAAGAGCAGAAAGTGTGGAAAAACTGCCTTAAAAATAAGGTATTTTATGGTGAAATATTGTTCTTTTCATTGTTTATTCATTTTTCAGGTCAGCACAAGAAGTGTTAAGAAAAATAATATTTTAAAAATAAGCAATATTATTTAAGTATAATCATAGAGAACAATGTGTAAGCAGTTAAGTGTATACCTTGGTCATGTAGCCCAATCCAGATTAACAAAGAGAACATTAGTAGCTCCTAGGAAGTCACCTTCCCTTCCTACTAATCATTCTGCCCTCCCTTCTCTCCAAAGAAGAGATCCTCAAAGAACTAGAAAAGGGAGAACAAACTAAGCCCAAAATTACTAGAAGGAAGTAACAAGGATCAGAGCAGATATAAGTGAAATAGAGACTAAAAAGACAATTGAAAATGTCAATGAAACTAAGAGCTGTTTTTTTAAAATTTTCACCCAAGGATATATTTTTAGAGAGAGGAAGGGAGAGGAGAGGAGAGGAGAGAGAGAGAGAGAGAGAGAGAGAGAGAGAGAGGAAGAGGAGGGGGGTAAGAGACAAACACCAATGGGTTGTCTTCTATATGTACGTGCCCTGACCAGGTATCAAACCCAAAACCTAGATATGTGCCCTGTCTGGAAATCGAACCTGCAACCTTTAGGTGTACAGGATGACATACCAACCAACTGAGCCACTCGCCAAGGGCAAGAGTTGGTTTTTTAAACAAGATAAACAAAATAGAAACAAGCATGTCAAACTCAGGGCCAGTGGGCTGCATGTTTGACATGCTTGAGTTAGACTAAGAAAAAAGTCTCAAATAAAATAAAAAATGAAAGAAGATGAGGCTGGGACGGCCCCTGAGAGGCTGCGACGGCCCCTGTGAGGTTGTGACAGCCCCTGTGAGGCTGAGACGGCTCCTGCGAGGCTGAGACGGCCCCTGCGAGGCTGCGCTGGCCCCTGGGAAGCCGAGAAAAATACCACATGATCTCACTCATTTATGGATAATAAA